ATGCCCTAAATGTAACTAAAGCCCAGCAGGGAGGTTGCTGAACTTTACCCTCCTCTGTTGTCACTGCAGACTGGCAGGGTCGCCTACAGAGCAGCGCTAGTAGCTGTTAATGAAGTAATATTGTTTTTATTTGAGGGTCCCATTTCACAGGGGAAGAATTCAACCACTACCCCTTATAGCTCAGAAGACACTTGAAAACAAGGGGTAGGGGTAAAAATAAGAAATAGGATTGGGTCTTAATCTCTATTCACCTCCACTCAGCCTGGAACTGTTTTAGCCTATTTAGGTTTTTTATATTTTAGTTTATTTTATATGATTTATTTTAGCTGTTTTCTTGTTTGCTGTATTTTTTATTGTCTACTTTTTTACTATTTTATCATTACTATTATTGTTGTACTGTTGCTTTCTACTTGATCTTTTTGTTCTTACTCAGTGGTTTTATTTACTTAAACTTTATTGCTAATTTTGTATTTATGTTTTATTACTAATTTACGTAATAGTTTTAATTGGTTGTCTTAACATTTCCTTATTTTGTATCTTTATGTACTGTTTTCATAATAATTAAAAGTATCAAGTATACTTATTATATTTAGTTTGTCTGATTGATCTGTCTGAAAATGTTTGCAAAAATATTGGTTATATGCATGTATAAATTCGTTCATTGGTTTCTGAATAATTAATGCTTTTCGTGTAAAGGCCTTTACTGTTGTATGTGAGTAAACTGTGTTCTGATTGGCTACTTTGTATTGTGCCTAATTCAAAAAGTCTGGGCTGGAACACTCCTTATAATCTCAGTATGAGTGGGATAGATCATAAATATTGTATGCTAAATAGGTGGATATATTAGTTGTGACGTCACAAAACAACAAATTCAAAAGTTTCCTCACCGTAGTTTCCATATTTGGAAGAGTACACTTTGAAACGTTAACACACTTTAAATACTAACTCTTTTATTTCAAAAAAAGCGAAGACAATTTGTTTTTCCATGATATGAGCCCCTTAAGTCATTTCCAATGCTTGCTTATGTGCTTTCTGATACTGTACGACATACTGTAATCTATACAAATGGGCTTAATCTATACTTGTTGTTGTGACAAAACAAATTCAGCTAAACCATCCCACCTCAGAAACCAAAACAAACAAACAAAGAAACATTAGAGTAAGACCAAGTGTAAAATCTTTGCCACTTTATTTCCGCAGCCTGTGCCTGCAGGCCTAATTAGTTTTTAGTACAGTGCACTGGACGTGCACTGCAGTTTCATGTTTTCCCTGCACCTGAGCCACATCATTAGCTAATGATGGTTTAGTGTTTGCTCTGCTTAACAAACCCCCTTCAACTCATCAGCCCATTAAAACGAGGGCGTACCAGCAGGGACAATACTAAACTAGCACTTCCCACTTCTAATCCTTCAGTCCACCTGCACTGCACAGTATGCTGTTTTCCCTCATTAGCTAACGATCAAATCCTTCTGGAGCTGAGCTAGACCTGAAGGTGTCCAGTACAAGTGAACTGCAGGACTGGAGCTGGCTAATGCTAGTCTAAATATTGTACTGTGTAGCTCCAGAGAGGCCGCCTTGATTCAGAGTCTGTTGGTTTTATTGTGTCTCCTCTGCACTGGCCTGGTGCATTAGAGCCAGAGATGGGTAGGAACTAGTTTAATTTACTCTGTTCCATGTAGTTAGGCACAATTTTGGTGGATTTGCCCTTTGCTGAGTATTTTTAGATCTTAACACTTTTATTTCTACTTATGTACATTTGTGAAGACAGTCATTTTCTTCACTCAGGTACGTTTTAGTCATTAATATTCAGTTCCTAATCCCTCTCTTGAGTTTAATTTCATTCTTTTCTGTTAGTTCAGCTTCCTGACTGCTTTAGTGTTGCTGACACCTCACTGACGTTTTATTTTACACCAGGAGGATCTTCAAAAGAAAGAAATGGAGCCTAACAAACTTCAGTTTTTTTATATGTAATGTTGATGCTGGTAAAATAGCGTTTTCTTTATGTACTATGTTGCCTTACAGCTTCCTGCATTCCGTATATCTCTAACCTATGAATTGATTTCAAAAATATCAAGAATATCTATACACAATTTTAGGTGAATCCCAAAACGATTGTAAAAACAATGTCTCAGACATCAGGCAGCTTATTCATAACAATTTCATGTAGTAGCTTTCTGTGAGGGAGCTTTTAGAGGCATTAAACTCTTCGGACGTCTGGTTCCTATCACCACCACTGTGAACAATTCTGACTCTGTGCGTTTCTCTAGAACAGAGCATTTCACACCAAACCACTCTGATCAAGTTTGTTTACATCTTAACCATTTAATTACAGAGAAATTTGACAAAAATAACTTGGACCTGGTATTTCTGTACTTTCAATCAAGTTGTTTCTTGGAAAGGTCCCTTTTAGCTTGTACTTGAGTCATAATTTCACAGAAGTAAAAATACTTTTACTGGAGTATGAGTTCAGGCTATGCCACACCCCTCTGAATACACCAGAAAAGACATGTAAGTGTTCAGTGCTGGTTGTCTACAGGCCTGGAGCTGGCAGGCACCTGTCTAAATAGTTCACTCTGTGTTCTAAATAGACTATTTTAAGAATAGTCCTGCTCCAGATTGGCCATTCTGATTCTTCATTCTTATTACTATGTATGTTTCTTTTATTGTCTCCTCTGCACTGACCCAAATCAGATGAAAAAACACCAAACAGTACAGTGTACGTGAACTAAAACAGTGACTGCGTCCAAAACCGAATACTACCATACCAAATAGTATGTCGTCACTGTCCTAAGAAAAACAAGTATCTCCAAAATAGTAAGTTTACAGGAGAAAGCAAACACACTCCTTTCAATGTAAGTTAATGTAAAGAGATTTTATTCCGAATGATTTTGGAGCATTTCTATTTGTCCAATCATCAAGAAAATTAAGGCATCCATAACACACCATAAAGGACAGCTAGTGTGTTGAAATGATGTAGAAAAAACTGACAAAAATGGAGGTACATGGTTTTCTTTGGACAGCAATGATATACAAAAATAGTACACCACTAATAGAAGTCCCTTCATTATAGTGTAGTGTGTGGTTTCGGACACAGCTAGGGTTTCTAGACCCTGGTGCTGGAGGCCCACCAACACACCTGATCCAACCAATCAGCTCATTAACAGTTCATTATTGAGTTGAAGTGGCTGCATTGACGCAGGGAAAGCAATAAGATGTGCGGGGCAGTGGGGCCTCCAGCAGCGGGAACACAGGACTAAAAGACTGGAGTCAGGAAACAGAGAGCGAGGTAAAGGAGTATCAGGAGTAAACAGCAGGTGGCGATGTTTGCTCATTATTCCCAGCGCGCTTTTAAAGCCATGTGTCCTGTGATATTGAAACCCAAACACTAAATACTTATATATGTTGTCGGAAGAAAAACTCAAATCTCCAAAATGATAACTTTACAGGAGATGGAAAAAACCTACCTTACTTTTAATGTAAGTCAATGGAACCAGACTTTTTTCCAAGTCATTTTAAGTAATTTCTTTTAGTCCATTCATCACAAAATTTACATACAATGTAAAGGGTAATAGGTATTTTCAAATTATGTCAAAAACTGAAAAATGTCAAAAATAGAGATATGAGGTATGTATGTGTGTGTGTATATATATGTGTGTGTGTGTGTGTGTATAAATATATATATATATAAATATATATATATATATATATATATATATACACACACATATATGTATGTATGTATATATACAAATGTCATAATATTAGTATTACTGTTATTTCATTACCCCTTTGGCATTTACACCAAAACGCAATGGAAAATATGACACCCAATTAATATGCATACTTGCTGTGAGCCAAAAAAAAAGCTAGCCAAATGTCAGCCAAAACCAAAATAAACTTTTTTTTCTGTCATGCTGGCAAAACTGGAAATTCATCCCCGTCCACATGTATTCAGCCTATCAGTAATAAGAACATCAAACATACACTTGAGACACACAAGCTGATTAAAGGCAAAAGAATGAACGATTGACAGGCTGAATGACAGCAAAAAAGGTATGTTCAGAATCTCTTGGCTTGTTTTATAGTATTGGGGTTGGTAACTGCAACCTGTAGTGCAGATTTTGTGCATGTTCCGCTGAAAAATAAATTACAGAGACCATTAAGAGTGTCTGTTGGCTCCTGATGGCATCTGACAGTCTCTAAATGGTATTCTGTGTTTTCCTGATGGGTTGATATCACAGTGTAAAGGACTCTAAAGGTTACTGGCTTTTTAGGTTAAAACTCCAGTTTAGTTTTTACAGTGTGTATAAAAATTACTCATTAGAAAAACAGAAAACCAGCCCAACCCGAGACCTCTAGCGGTGTTTATCAGGACGCTCACAAAACTACTCAGATGAAGCGCTTTGTTTCATCTTTTAAAATGTTGTTGTTTCTTAAATAATTTTTAAAAATATTTGGAACACAATCATATATTTCTTTAATATTGCATTTGATGCTTTCCTAATAGGATCTAAAGGTGTCCTACACTTTTACTAGATGAACTAGATGGTTCTTCAAGGGTTCTTTAGTATAAAAAATGGTTCTGTACAGAACCATGATCACTCAAAGAACCCTTTGCATGGTTAAAGGGTTCTTTGCATCGTGAACGGGTTCTTCAGATGGATGGAGAATGTGCTGTGGATGGATCTACTGTAACAACCCTGACTATAACAATAGAAGAACCCTTTTTGGGTTGAATTTAATGATGGAAAGGGTTCTTTAAATGTTCATGGTTCTATATAGATATAACTTTACTAAAGAACCCTTGAAGAACCATCATTTTAAGTGTGTACACCTAGTGAAACTAGTGGGCTCTAGTTGTAACAGTTAAGCCAGTTCCTGTTAGATAGCACAACCAGGTGTTAATTCTCATGGTCCTTATAGTCTTTTTCCAGCAGGGTGGGTTTTATGGTGACTCAAGTTCATTTATTTTTATCCCTGGACATTTGCTGTCTCTCTTTTCCTTCTCTCCCCCTTTCTTTCTCCTTTCCCTCTCTTCTTCCACCACCTTGCTGCTGGACTGAACACAGTAAACACAGCGGCAGCAGCGGCAGCAGCGTCTGTCTGTGTGAGCTCGTCCTGCTGCTGCTGCTCCTCGATGCATTGAATGAAAATATTTTTGGTGTCGTATGAAAATATATGCTGACGTACCAGATCATGTGGGCTTTTTCGTCGCAGATCTCCCATGCATGCACAGCCACTTGCTTTTTTATTTTTTCCCCCCTCTACGCTTGTCTTTAGGATCCGCCACAAATCTTTAGGATTACAAATGTTGTTTTACGGGGCGCTGCTGCTGCTTTCTTGAAAAAAGCTCAAAAAGCGCCGTTTTCGGGGGGAAAGAAAAAGATTTGTTGGTGCTGTTTAATCTCAATCTTTCCACCAAAGCAACAGACTCCTTTTTTAGGCAGGTAAGGATCTAATTCATTTCTGTTGATGTGTTTTTTTTTGCCCTTCTTACTTCACTGTCGTTTTGTCAGCATTAAGCCGAAGTTCAGTTCAGCGCCCGGTTTCACTTCAACAACCTTGTGTTTTTATTTTTCGTTATTTATGTTCACTTTGCCAGTTTAAAGACGACTTTTACCCCTTGCTCGACGTGTGTGGGGGACGTGGCTCCTTACAAGCTCGAAATAACACTTAGCACAGCTGCGAAAATAAACTTTGAGCCGGTCTGTAGGTGTAGCAGCCCTGTAACTAAGAGGGGCACTGGCTGGCTAGCTAGCCGGCTAACGTAGCATTAGCATTAACGCACAGTTGTCATGGCATTCGGTTAGCCGCGCTAGCTAGCCGTCGTATTTTCGGACCGTCCGCCAGATTTCGGCTCTAAAGCTGTATTTGTCGGGGCTGAACGGCGTCGAGCCGGCTGTGTTTACCTGGTGACATTTCCCCGAGGACTTTCATGCTGTTGTCATGTCGTGCTATTTAAGATAAGGCCTTCAGAAAGTGCTTGTACGGCAGTCTGGGAGGTTTAGCTGACTGCTAACTAACAGCAGTATCAGTATCAGTACAGACCAAGTGTCCTTAAACTTGGCTAGGGGAAAAGAGCTGGAGGTGGATGTCTACACTGGAGCTCTGTAGCACGACTTTAAAGCATCAGTTCGTATCCGTTTCGCGATTTTCTGTGATTTTCGCGAGTTCGTGTCACTTCTGCTGGCATGAAAGGGGGAATCCACCGATTTTGACAACAATTCTACATAATTAAGTTGTTAAGATGTAAACAAAGTCATTCAGAGTCAGAATTGTTCACGGTGCTGGTGATAGGAACCAGATGTCTGATGCCTCTGAATGCCCTTTCAGAGAAAGCTATTACATTAAATAGTTAAAATATATGTCCAACATATTGTTTTATGATAGTTTTATGAGACGGTTTTGGTTTGAAGTGTATTTGAAGTCATTAATTGTAATTCATTCATGGCGGAGGGGCACTCATAGGGCGTTATAAGGCAAAGTAGTCCCTAAAGAAAACTTATTTTTTTCAGGTTTGCCCCTATTTTACCATCATCAACATCTCATGTAAAATGTAAAACCTCAGGAGGCACTGGTGGTTTTTGATAGTAAATAAAATGGCTATATTTGTGACATTGTGACCCCCTGGTTCCTATCACCACCACTGTAAAGAAATCTGAGCGGGTAAATTTCTCCACAGTGAACCACTTCATGTCAAGCCACTCTGAATGACTTTGTTTACATCTGAAGGACTGAATTATTCAGAAATTTTGATGACTTCCCTTTTACGATGGGGTAAAAAGTGGGCAGAGTGGTTTATGCCACCCACCCACCCATCCATCAGTCCATCCGTCGCCCTCCTCCCTCCTGTTGCCTTTGAATCTGCTTTATGTCAGTTTGGTATGAGAATATAATCTTCATAATTTTACAGTTATCATAAAGGCTTCCACATTTACAACCTAATAATCCTCCTCCGTCTCTCAGTGCGCCGCACTTGACACTCTGACCTGTTTCATTGGCCTTCAAACCAGCGTGACGCCACAACTGCCCATGTGCTGTGTAATTTTGCGCACAATCCAAGAGGTAGGCCATTAAAGTGGCATGAAATGGTTTGTAATTGTGAGCAGGAAGGTTAGTTTTCTTCCGCCAGTTAATGAATTCTGTTGCTTGGGTGTTCTTCTGCCGTTCTCAAGTGTTCTTCAGTTTGCCTCTTAACCAAAATGTCTTAAATTGAGTGGTTATTTCCTTCAATAGCAAACGTTTAATGTTTCAGAAAAGTGATGGTCTTTCCCATCTTTCACTCCTGTACATAATATACGGTAGTATAAAATTGTGCAAATGCCATAATGTAGCCTTTTAGTAAATGATTAGTGTAAAGAGACGGAAACCAGCCTCTATATGCCAATATTTTCTGAATGGTGTTGGCCGCTGGGATGACACCTGAGCATTTTAACCAATTGGCAGCAGGTAAATATGAGATAAATCAAATGAAGCCATTTTCTGTGGTTCAGTTGTCCAGTGCAGTCTGTAGAGAAAGTGGACAGTGATACAGTTCTTGTTATTTTATTCCGAAATCCAGTCACTATAAAGTTTAATTGCAGAGTATTGGTTGAGGAGATCTGTCTATATTGATGGAGTTGCAATCTGAGTCTAGGTTTTACCTGTGCTCAGAAAGGGCCTATAAACTTCATAGGCTCTCATCTAAATGGGCTTTACCCAAAGAAACTTCTGCCTTCAGGAAATCTTACTAAGAAATGTGAGTCTGCCTCCCTGACGAAGGAATTTTGTGAGTCTTTGTGAAGTGAGAGAAACGTGTACTGTATCTTTGGCCTTTACTCGGACTGTAATATCAGGCCCGTTTGATATTGATTTTGTTTTGTTTTGAGAAGCGTTGAGTGAGCTTTCCTTTGTGTTGTTTGTATTGAAGCAAGGTTTTTTTTTTTTTGGTCTTTCATTTTTTTTGAAGGTGGAGAGGGGTTTGGGTCAGATTTCTGTTCCAGCATGAAAAAGAGCATTCATCTGTATCTCGTTTGAATTGCCAGCTTGCATAATTCCGTTGTTTACATACTGCAGAGCGTTTCAGGATGATTGTGCAAGTGAGGCTGAGCTGCCAGAAAGTGCAAGTCATGTGTAGCACATAAACTTTACTTCTCCAAGACTCTAAACCATTACAGAGCATGCCTGGTGGAGCACTGGCCATGTTTTTCATGCTTATAATTATCAGATCCTGGCCTGTACGTGGCATTGAGTGGTCCTCACGCAATTAGCGAAGGGGCACTGAAGAGGAAATGTGCAAAAAGTCTTGGTTAAGAAGGTGCAGGGATCTTTTTCCTAGACCTAAAATGACAGGAAAAAAATATCCAAACGAAAGGATTGTTTGAAGTAATGTGGTAATATTGCTGTAATATGTCATCTGGGCTGTATTCATAAAACGTCTGAAAGTTGGAATGCTGATCTAGGACCTCTTATTTCAGATTACGTTACTGACAAGGACAGGAGGAGTTCTGATCTGGAATCTCATCTGTATTGAAGCGTTATGAGTAGGGTCCCTGGTCTGGTTAGAGTAAGGACTTCAGATTGTAAGTTTTGTACAGAATCCATGTAGGAAGGAAATGTTTACATGCCATATTTTGTGACCTACATCTTGAACTACATTGTAACTAGCACAGCCACACTAAAATAAGTGCCAGAAAGGGTTCTTTGGAGGCTTCTTTGAGGAACCTTTCAATGGATTCTTCTTTAAAGATCCATTTCATGCTTAATGAGATGTGTGAGTGTAAAAAAAGGTGTGACATTTAAAGAACTTCCAGATAATGTAAAGAATATAAGAAAAAACATAAGAAAAGGAGTTTTAATCTAGAAACATATGTCCAAGCCAGAGAGCCGTTTATGAGTCTTCATTTTCAGCAGTAGATCACACTAAGTTTTGTTTTCTTTTCCTCTGTCCTTTCTGAGATACGTCTAAAGCTGGGCCTTGCGCTACTTTAAGTGAGTTTTGAGACACTGGCTTCATACAAACAATTAACGAATTATACGTCTGTTTGTTTATTTGTTTCTCCGTCTTCTTCTTCGTCTTCTTCTTATTATTATCTCTCTCTCTCTCTCTCTCTCTCTCTCTCTCTCTCTCTCTCGCTATCTTTCTCTCCTTTCCTCCCTCCCCCGGGTGTGAGATATTTGCTGTACAGTGTGTTGCCAGAATCGTAGTTTGGAGTTGCAGCCTGCCAACCGGAGAGGACGTAGAGCCAGAACGCCTCCTCCAAAAATCTCTCACTCCGGTCAAGGCGAAGCAGAGGCAGGCCGCCCCACCCTGCTCACAGGGGCTCCACATCTCATGGGTTTACTTCAAATATGCCTACAGTGAAACCTTTAGCTGAGCTTTGATCCAGGGCTGTCACGATAAGTCATGTAAACTTGATTACTCGGTTTAAAAAAAGGAATCATTGATTTTAAAAAATGTCCTGGTGAATCAACAGTGCTCAGTCGGCAGTTTGCATGATGGGAATTGATGATGAAATTCTTGGCTGAAATCAAAACTCAAGGCAGTGAATACCTTTGGCACCGTCATTCATAATTTCTTGCCACTTCAAAAACTTTGTCTACAGGTGGTGTTGCCATGCTAGCTGGAACTTTCTCTTTTTGTTTCTGTTGTTTTCTGTAAATCGAGGAGGACGTCATGTTTTCAAGTGATATCATTACTGTAGGGGAGAAGCTCTTGGGTGTTGTACTTCTTCATGATATTCAATATGAACAGAGATCATAAATTGCTTGAAACTGTGATATATTTCTACATAATTTCACTATTTAGCTCAGAAGAGTGAAGAGAACAAACAGCTTTGTTTTTTGGTCAAAGTGTTTGGCCTTTTTTTTCTCTTACTCCCTAAATAAAATGGAATCATACTTTGGTGCAAACATAATAATAATGCGTATTTTAAATTCTCCTACTGATCTTTCGTACTGTAAGAAACAGAGCCTGAAGGGCGCAGCTGTTTAAAAGATATTTTATTAGATTATATTTGAATTAAGTCTTTTTAAAGGCTTCATGTTTTATCTTTGTCCAATAAAGTTTTTTAGTGGCAGCTCTGCTTTAGATCCTGGAAGTATTTGGGCCGGCAGGACCGGAGACGGTGAACGAGAAGCCCAGATTGGAACAAACTGCAAATTCCGAAGCCATAATGCGTGGGAACAATGGGCACATAGGTTAATCCTCTTATGCTATTGCTGAACAAACGACAGTGTGGCGAAGGCACCTGTTACTGACTTGCCCCAGTCCAAGATTCCCTGTTAGAGGGACCTCGACACACTGATCTTTGATCCTGCCCAAAAGGAGGAGAGATAGATGGCATTCCTAATAGACAAGCCTCCAATCCAGCTCTATTCAGAACCTGCGCTTTAAAGAAAAAACATCCTGGTTCTAAAGCCCAGTTTACCGTCATCTGATGAACAAGGACAGTGTAGTTTTTAGAAG